GCGCGGGGTCCTGCGCAGCGTGCCGAATTCTTTGTTAATTCTTTTCTTTATGACATAAACACCTTCCTTCCTTCCTTCCTTCCTTCCTCCCTTCCTCCCTGTAGTGGTTTGAACCAGGTTTTCCCCCTGAAATTAAGAAAGTGGTAACCCCCAGGGGGTGGTGACCCTTGGGGTTTGACCCAATCAGTGCTCCTGCAAAATATAAACATATCTCTAGACCAGAAAAGAAGGAGTGGTACTTGTTGTTAGAAGAAGAGTGGCCATGTTGTGAACGCCACGAGGAAGGGGCTCAGGGCCCCTTGGGGGCTTTGGCCCCCCCAGCCCCCAGTTTGGGCATTACGGGGACTCAGAACAGTGTTAAACTGGGCTGAGTGCCTGTAGCTAAGAGCTGGGGGAGTTTCTCTCCGGTAAGCAGCAGTAGGAGACACTAAGAGCGGCGGCAGAGCAGCAGTGGACGGAGGAGAGCAGTGGCAAAGAGCCAACAGATAAGGACCAAAGGAGCAGCAGAAGCTGGCATGCAGCCGAGGCAGACAGAGTTGTCTGAAGAAAAGGAAAGCAGCAGTAGAAAAGAGAACCAAGCTACTGCAGAGAGCGAGTTTCAGGGGTAAGAACTGCAAAACTTCCCCCAAACTCCTTTGAGACCCCTCCGAGAGAGAGGGGGGGATGGTGGACTCCCACCTGAGAGGAGTCCTGGAGTGCAGTAAGCACTGCAGAGAGGAGCTATGAAGCTCAGACTGTCCTGAGAGCTAAGCCAGGACAGCCAAAGGAATGTATGTGTGGAGTGACCTTGGCCCCCCCTTGCTGCTAAGCTTCAGAGAAGCTGGCAGCCATCTTGAGGCAGAGCACAGAAGCTCTATAAAGGGGCTTGATTTCCCCTGAAGATACCAGACCGTCACGAAGGCTTCTGTGGGAGGGGGGCTAGGAATCAGGAACTGGATTTTGAGGCTGTTCAAAACCATGACACTCCCTTCTTCCTTCTTTCTTCCTTCCTTCCTTCCTCCCTTCTTCTCTCTCTTCTCTCTTCTCTCTTCTCTCTTCTCTCTTCTCTCTTCTTTCTTATTTCTTATTTCTTCTCTCTTCTTTCTTCTTTATTCTTTCTTCTCTCCTCTCTCTTCTTTCTTCTCTCCTCTCTCTTCTTTCTTCTCTCTTCTCTCTTCTTTCTTCTTTCTTCTTTCTTTTCCTTCTTTCTTCTCTCTTCTCACTTCTCTCTTCTCTCTTCTCACTTCTCACTTCTCACTGCTCTCTTCTCTCTTCTTTCTTGTTTCTTTTCCTTCTTTCTTCTCTCTTCTCTCTTCTCTCTTCTCTCTTCTCACTTCTCACTTCTCACTTCTCACTTCTCACTTCTCTCTTCTCTCTTGTCTCTTCTCTCTTCTCTCTTCTCTCTTCTCTCTTCTCTCTTCTCTCTTCTCGCTTCTCTCTTCTCTCTTCTCTCTTCTCTCTTCTTTCTTGTTTCTTTTCCTTCTTTCTTCTCTCTTCTCTCTTCTCACTTCTCTCTTCTGTCTTCTCACTTGTCACTTCTCTCTTCTTTCTTCTCTCTTCTTGCTTCTCTCTTCTTGCTTCTTTCTTCTGTCTTCTCTCTTCTTTCTTCTTTCTTCTTTCTTCTTTCTTCTTTCTTCTTTCTTCTTTCTTCTTTCTTCTTTCTTCTTTCTTCTGCCTCCTGGGGCCGGCGCGGGTGCCCACACAACCAGCGCCGGAGCCTCTGACCGCCGCGGGGTCCTGCGCAGCGTGCGCAGGGGCTTCCGGCCGGCGCTGGGTCCTCCCGCCCACGCGGGTGCCCGCGCTGCCTGCGCCGGAGCCTCTGACCGCCGCGGAGTCCTGTGCAGCGTGCGCAGGGGCTTCCGGCCGGCGCCGGGACCTCCCGCCCACGCGGGGGCCCGAGCTGCCTGCGCCGGAGCCTCTGACCGCCGCGGGGTCCTGCGCAGCGTGCGCAGGGGCTTCCGGCCGGCGCCGGGTCCTCCCGCCCACGCGGGTGCCCGAGCTGCCTGCGCCGAAGCCTCTGACCGCCGCGGGGTCCTGCGCAGCCTGCGCAGGGGCTTCCGGCCGGCGCCGGGTCCTCCCGCCCACGCGGGTGCCCGAGCTGCCTGCGCCGGAGCCTCTGACCGCCGCGGGGTCCTGCGCAGCGTGCGCAGGGGCTTCCGGCCGGCGCCGGGTCCTCCCGCCCACGCGGGTTCCCGAGCTGCCTGCGCCGGAGCCTCTGACCGCCGCGGGGTCCTGCGCAGCCTGCGCAGGGGCTTCCGGCCGGCGCCGGGTCCTCCCGCCCACGCGGGTGCCCGAGCTGCCTGCGCCGGAGCCTCTGACCGCCGCAGGGTCCTGCGCAGCGTGCACAGGGGCTTCCGGCCCGTGTGGGGCCCCCCCCAGGAGGTCTTCCGTCTTCTTTCTTCTCTCTTCTCTCTTCTTCTTACCTGTGCCTCCCCTGGCTGGCGCGGGCTGCTTTTATACTGGATCCGGGCGGGTCCCCTTTGTGACGTCAGAGCTGTCTGAGCCACCGTCTCCAACGAGGTCACAGTGGCGGCCCCCGACGCATCACAAAGGGGGTCCCGCGGGTGCTCCCGCAGGAGCCGCTCCCACCGCCAGGCTGGATCCCTGACACGGGCCTGGCTCTGCCAATAGAGCACAGCAAGCTCCCATCTGATGAGGGTGTCAGTGGTCCCTGGTGTCCCTGTGCGCCGGCAGCGACTTGTTCAGGGTGTGCCCGGGCCCGCGTCTGTGCTCGCCCGGGCTTTCACTGGCTCGGGAGAGCCCCCTGGACCCCACTTGGGAGTGCTCCGCTGGGGATCGGGCCTCTCACAACCGGGGCCCTATGCCGGGAGTGCATCCCTTGGGACCCAGACCGCTCCAAAGCTTTGTCCTTGCTTCCCCTGTGCCAAGAGTGACATGCGGGATGCGTTTCTTCCAGTTCAGCATGTGCAGAGCTGAACTTCCAGTGCCCTTTCTGTTCAAAGCCTTCTGGAGGCAAAAGGGGGCTGGGGTGAGGGGGAATGTCAGTAAGTGGGAGCTTAAGTATTCCAGAAAAGGAAGGACCAGAAAAAGGCAGCTTCAAATATAAGTAACAACAACAACAACACAAGGCGTTACCAATTCTGGAACTTTTTCAATGAAAACATGAAACACTCACTTATATAATCTTATATAATCTTATATAATCTTTAAATAAACAAGCGACTGTTCAATACTAACATATATAATCTTAGAGGAACTAATCTTCCATTTTAAATAAATCTGCACTCAAACCTGTCAATAGGCAACAAAAGGAGCACGTGCTCGAAGGCTCCCTTTGGGACATGGCTCACACTGCTGTGCTTTCCCAGATGAAGGACACACAGAAGTCTGAGGTTCTCAGCATTTAATTTGCCTCAGCCTTTACTGGCAGAGTTTGCTCTCAGACATCCTTGTCTAATGGCAGAGTTTGGAAAAGGGAGGTACTACTGATATGGTTTGGAGCTGGCTCCCTGCCAAGTCTCCAAACCTTACCACAAGAAGTCCCCCCCACCCCAAACCAAGGGAGAAGAGGGGAAAAAAAAACCAAAAGAACCGAAAACGAGAGAGAGACAAAGCAATATATATAAATATATTTACACTTATATTACAGTTATGTACAGTTGAAATATATATACAATTTCACAGGGAAAAGGGAAAGGGGAAGGGAAGACCAAAAACCAAAATAATATATATATATACATATATCCCGATCAATAGCCCAAGGTCTATCAACTAAAAGAATTAGCAAAGAATATCTTACTACTCTCCTTGGGACAACGGAGAGTCACGCAGGGGTGACTGCCGGCAGCCTCCGCCTCCCAAGGTCGACAAGGCCTTACTAGGCCTCACTCTCCAAGCCGACAGACTCAACAGCAGGGAACCCGCACCTCCAAAGCCGCCAGAAGGAAAGAGAGCGAAGGCATCTCCTCCTTTCTTCTTATACTCCGGCTTACGTAAAAATTGTAGGGAATACCGGGTAAATCTGGGCACTTCCTTGGTTACAAACTGGTCACCAAGGAAGGCCTAGGCCAAACTACCACAACTACCCACAGCTGAAGAGGGGGATGCTGGGATCACTTAAGTAAACTGGAAATATACAAATCCATAGGACTAGATGGGATGAAGCCCGGCTAGGCAAAAGGAAGAAAACTCTCAATAGGGAGGGTTGTCAGCCACTAGAGCAAGTTGCCCAGAAACTGTCTGCAGTTTCTATTCTTGGAGGCTTTCAAAAGCCAGCTAGATGAGACCTTGAGAAACTTTGTTTCATTAAGCAGAAGATTGGCGTGAAATTCCTGCAGAACTCCTTTCCAACTTATTTTTTTCTATGATTCCCAATAAACAACTGAATGTAAACTTAAGATCCTCTGGAAATGTGCCTTAAATTGTGCAACGTTGAATGTAGCATGTTGTAAATGCCACACAGACCCCAAATCACCCATGACACATGGGAACCTAAAGGAGAGGGTAGCAGTGGTAGTCCAGGGACTGGAGCTGCTAGAAAGGTCGCTAAACTGTGCTTGTGAGGATTAGCAGGGTTTAAACAGTGTTTTCTGCTGTTACACGTGAACCAGTCACCCTTTAGGTGTGCTGTAGGTGCTCCGGGACTTCCTGTACTGAACCTCCTAGTGCTCACTCAGTGTGTTGGTGTCACACTCTCCAAGGACTTCATGAGCCCCAACAGGTCACTCACAGATATGACTCTAACAGATCTCTCTAACAAGAGTTCTGTGTGAGCTGAGACCTTCCTGAAGACTGAGTTAACATCAACATGATCAACTGTGGCAGCTCACAGCATATCTGTTCTTGTTTCATGCTGCTGGCAGAGCTTATGCTAGCAGTAGAGTGCAGTGAAGTTCTTGCCACTTAGGAGTTACCGGCAGACAAGATCTCTGAAACATACCCCAAGCAGACCTGGGTTTTCTTGTTATGCTTTTGCTTTGTCCCTGAGCGGCTGCTGCTTCAGATGTTGCACAGCTGCTGGTTCAGCAGGTTCATACACAGAGAAAGGCTACTGTAACCACTTCAGGTTTAATTTAGGTTTAATCAGTGTTTTGGACATGTGAACATTTTTTATTTCAGCACTATTTCAGAACAGTTTTGTTGGAGGCTCCTTAATCCTCTGGAGACTTCTGGTTGGAAGCACAAGCAGATTTTTCCAGGCCTGTAGCAGCAGATCGTGTATCTGGACAAGCAAGACACTCCATCCCCTGCTGACATGGAGCCACGAATGCCCTGGAGCAAAACCCAGAAAATTTCTGAAGCTTCTCTGTGGATGATGAAATCCTGGGGAGTAAAACCCTACAAGAACCAAGCTTAACTTTGCATTAAGGATGTAACTTTGAACAGGACAAAGTTGCACATACCTATTAGCAATGAAAGAGACAATTTATATAATCTCTTTGAACAGTAGCCCTTCTGCTTGATGTTGAGTCTGAACTATTGTCTGATGATGGTCCAAATGTGAGTCCCATGTATAACCTTTCAGAAATTGTATGACTCTGGAAAGGGGAGAAACCTTGCTGAGAGTATGTCTGCATAAAAATAATGGAGTTTCTGTGCAATTCTAAGTGTTCATTTCCAGTCACGCCTCAATTGCTGTGTTAATGCCCCTTGGCATGAGTAGAATTAACATAAAATCATAGAACTATATTTATTTTTTAGTTTTATACTTCCTTCCCACAGTCAGAAACACCTGAGTGTTGTGACTAGAATACCACACAAGAGGGGACATTCTGTTCAAAGAAGGCAAAACTCATGTACAGCACTGAGCAGAGGGTTGTAGCAAAGCAGGGAAGTCTTGTAAAAATCCAGGATTCTAGCTTTAATATCAAGATTAATTTACTGCTTAAGTGGTCTTACATGTAATACAATAAGCCCTGCAGGATAAGAATTGTTTCAGGGTTGGTTTTGTTTTTTTTTTTTTAATTGGAAAACATCACTGAAAGATTCCTTTCAAAATAAACATCACTGTTCCTGGGAGAGCAAAACAGATGAATTGGCTCTGAGTTCTAGATTTCTCCATAATCTTACTTAAAACAGAACAAAGAAAGAAGGAATCAGTGGAATAGCAACCTCATAGAGCAAAAGAACATAATTCAAGTGTTAAGAGGACATTTACAAACACCATTATTAATGCCAAAACATTGGTTTATCTTTTCAGTGAGTTCTAGATGTGAGTCTTTGTCAGTTACACTGAAGGTCAGAAACTTGTCCATATATTGTATATTGATAAAATACTTCTCTGTGGTTTCACGTTCTCATCTGAGGTATCATCCAAGCCAAACTCATCCTTGATGAATTAATATCAATGGAGTCACATGCCAGGAGTGCAGCCCTTTCAGTACTCATCAGTCTAGTATCAAATGGATATTTAATTGGTCCAGTTTGCAGCACTGACCCCTGGCTCTCACTCAAGCCACCCCCTGTGACCCAACATGGGTATTATAGACCTGTTGCATCCTTTTTTCCCCTCAGTATCCCAAGTACCCATAGACCTTCCCATCCAAACTGGTGAGGTACATTCAGGTAAAATATGCCACTTGGCTTAGCCCAAATCTTTTTGTCACGCTTCTGCTTCTCAGTCAGATCAGCCATTTGTATGTTTTAGTTCACTTGTGCCGTCCATTAACCTCCTCTGGGTGTGCAGGGCATGGCTGAAGCCCCCAGTTGGGGGGCCCTGTGAGGGGGCACTGATGAAGAGACCCCGTGGCTGCAAGGGAGGGAGAGAGAGAAGAGTCCATATGGGTGCTGGTAATCTTGGCTGGGACCTTCACAGCTCTGAGAATGTCGGCAGATGTTGGACATGGAGCACTGCTACTCACAGGGTACTTGCAAGTGGGTCCCAGCTCCTCAGTGTCACCATTTTGGAGGGACACAGATGAGCCCCATGGCTTCTGAAGTCACACGTGCTTTTTGCCTTTCTGGGGAAGACCAGGACCTTGGCTGGAAACAGCCAGCACAAGACAGCCAATGGAAGGTACTTTCAGTGAACAGCAAGAAGTTATTTTGGTCTCACACTATGCACTACCTTTGCTATTTATCCCCGAGTGTCTTTTCTAGCACTGTGTTTGTTTGTTCACGCCCATGCTAGACCCCGCGCTGCCCGGAAGCATGTGCGCTTTTGGCACGGGATCTTGCGCAAGTCGTGAGCTGTTTTGCGCGCGCTGCGGGGGCCCAGGCACAGCTACAGCAGGAGTAAGGAGAGAGAGAGAGAGGGGAGACTTTCCGGCAGGTACTGCACCCCCATGGAAGAGGAGAAGGCAGCTTCGGAGCACACAGAGGTTTGCCGATCCAGGTCTGGGGGGGAGGGGGCAGGGAAGGGAAAGGGAGCAGAGGGGAATGGGCTTTGAGTGGATCATGGTTGTTCTCCGACTGGTGGGTGGGAGTGCGGGGCTGTCCCATGTGAAACGTCGCAGGTGTGCAACGCGCCTGCAATTTGTGGTGTCACAGTGGGGGAAGGATAATCGTCAGGGTGGATAGTGGGTTCTTTTAGATTGATGGGGACCCCAGCCAGGCTGGGGTCTTGAAAGGCACCCTAGCCTTGACAGGTACAGGGGCCAGAACGGTTGGTCAGCTGATTTGTTTGTTTGTCTATTTACCTTTTTACTTTTGGCTCACCTGCGGCTACTGCCCAGGTTCGGCATGTTCTGGATGTATTTGCTCTGCTCTGCTACATCCTGAAAGGGTGGGCACGACAAAGGGCTGCTCCTGGTTGTCTCCTTATTGATGGTATTTAGATAGGTGTTAGTAAAGTAGGAAATGAATGACTTACCCAACTCGTTCTAACAGATAAGTAGCCTATGTACCCCTATGTGGTTGCGAGCTATGCTGGCGAGGATTCATGCCTTCGGTAGGGTCGCCCATGCCAGACAGGTCAAAACCATAGGACCAGATACACTTCATTCTTGGGCAGGATGAGCTCGTTAGCCTTCTGGCAGTCATCCTAGGGAAGGACAACTCTCATCCCAAACCCGGGCAGATGGAGCTCGCTTAGCCCTGTAAGGCCATCCATCTAAGAGAAGGCCACTCTAATCAAACCTACGTCCTGAGGACCTCGCTGCCACCGTCCAAGCTTGCTCGGCCCTGGCAGATGAACTTTAGGATTAAAGGGTGGGTTCAGTTCCGCGCATACTGCATCTCACCTAAAAAATCCATTGCGCAGGCTTGAAGGCTTTACCCACATGCAAAAAGTCCTACAGCGACAGGCGAGGGTCGAAACGGTAGGTGAAAGGTGCACTGGGAGCTGCAGACTCAACCCTGCATGCAGGCGGTTCAGGATATTGGTCATTTGAGACTGACAGAGATGAGAGTCTCTTGGGGCAGCACCCTGAACGACCAAGCAGCCTTTTCAAGGACAGCACTGCTTGCTCCACTCGGAGAGGGGCCTAGAAAAGGTGACCTAAACAAAGCTCATCTCCACCTTCACCCGGTTGGTTAACCGCAGACCAACGGGCATCTTCTTCCAATGCGGTCGCACAAAGAGCAAAAGACAAAGGCATGCACCTGCCTCCAAAGGTGTACCTAAATTAACTCTAGCATGCTGGAACATCAGAACCATGCTCGATTCTGCGGACAGCGGACGTCCTGTGCGTCGCTCTGCCCTAATTGCCCATGAGCTGGCCCATCTCAACATCGACATAGCTGCTCTCAGTGAAGTTCGCCTTCATGAGGAAGGCAGCCTCAGAGAACACGGTGCCGGTTACACACTCTTTTGGTCAGGTAAGTCCAGAACCGAAAAACATCTCTCAGGTGTCGGCTTCATGATCGAAAACTCTATTGTCCCTAAACTCGAAAATCTGCCGACAGGTCACTCTGACCGCATTATCTCCCTACGCCTTCCACTAAATAACAACCAACACGTTGTCATCTTCAGTATATATGCCCCAACTCTCCAAGCTGACCCTGCTGAAAAAGATAAATTTTACTCTGACCTGCGCTGCCTTACCCAAAAGGTACCAGCAAATGATAAGATCATTATCCTTGGTGATTTCAAAGCCAGAGTAGGCAAAAATTTTGAAGCATGGAAAGGAATATTAGGCAAGCATGGTGTTGGAAACTGCAACGATAATGGTCGACTTCTGCTAGAATTCTGCGCGGAGCAACAGTTTACCATCACCAACACTATCTTTCAGCAGAAAGATAGTCTAAAGACAACCTGGATGCACCCCAGATCTAAGCATTGGCACCTCATTGATTATGTCTTGGTGCGATGGAGAGACGTCCGCGATGTCCTCCATACCCGCGTGATGCCCAGCGCAGAATGCCAAACAGACCATCGGCTTGTGCGCTGTAAACTCAATTTCAATCTCAAATTCAAACCCAAAAAGGGCAGTATCCCAAGGAGAAGACTCCAAGTTAACGATCTCCAATCAGCCACAGTAAGAGAAAGATTCCAGGCAAACCTTCAAACTAAGCTTGATAACCATTCCACAGATTCTGCAGATTCCTCTCCTGAAGCAATTTGGCATCATATTAAAAGCTGCATCCTGCAATCCTCTGAAGAATCCTTAGGGTTCTCCCTCAAGAAGAACAAAGACTGGTTTGATGAAAACAATCAAGAAATCCAGGAATTGTTGAGGAAGAAGAGAACTGCCCACCAAGCACACCTTGCACTGCCATCCTGTCCCGCAAGAAAAGTAGCCTTTCGTCTTGCATGCAGCAAACTCCAACAGAAACTCCGTGACATCCAGAACAAGTGGTGGACCGATCTAGCTGTAAAAACTCAACTTTGTGCAGATACAGGGGATCACAAAGGATTCTATGAGGCCCTCAAAACAGCATACGGGCCTACATACCAAATCCATAGCCCACTACTCAGTGCAGATGGTCAAACGCTTCTGACAGATAAAACCTCCATTCTGAATAGATGGTCTGAACATTTTCAGACTCTTTTTAGTACCAACCATGTAGTCCAAGACTCAGCAATTCAGTCCATCACACAACGACCGGTGAAATACGAATTGGATACTGCCCCCACTTTAGGAGAAACCCTCAAGGCCATACAGCAGGTGAAAATTGGCAAGGCAGCTAGGGTTGATGGAATTCCACCTGAAGTCTGGAAACATGGGGGCCTTGCACTCCATGCTAAATTTCATGAGCTTGTGGTGCGCTGTTGGGAACTAGGCAAACTACCTTCAGACCTTCGTGATGCAGTCATCATCACCTTGTATAAGAAAAAAGGTACTAAATCTGACTGCTCAAATTACCGTGGTATTACTCTGCTCTCCATTGCTGGCAAAATCTTGGCAAGAATACTCCTGAACAGACTAATACCCGCTATAGCAGAAGAAATTCTACCTGAATCTCAGTGTGGCTTCAGAGCCAACAGGAGCACCACAAACATGATATTTGTTCTCAGACAACTGCAAGAGAAGTGTAGGGAACAGAACAAAGGTCTCTTTGTAACCTTTGTCGACCTCACCAAGGCTTTCGATACTGTGAGCAGAAAAGGTCTGTGGCAGATTTTGGAATGTTTAGGTTGTCCCCCCAAGTTCCTTAAAATGATCATCTCACTCCATGAGGATCAACATGGCCAAGTCAGATATGGCAACACACTTTCTGAGCCCTTTCTAATAAAGAATGGTGTGAAACAAGGCTGCGTTCTCGCTCCTACCTTATTCACAGTCTTTTTCAGCATGATGCTCCAAAGGGCCACGGCAGACCTCGACGATCAGGATGGTATCTACATTCGATATCGTACTGATGGAAGCCTATTCAACCTAAGGCGACTGAAGGCCCACACTAAGACCCTGAACCATCTTGTCTGGGAGCTGCTTTATGCTGATGACGTTGCCCTTGTCGCCCACACAGAAGCAGCTCTGCAGCATTTAACATCCTGCTTTGCAGATGCTGCTGAGCTCTTTGGGCTGGAAGTCAGCTTAAAGAAGACTGTAGTTCTCCATCAACCTGCACCTCAGGAAGTCCTCCATCATCCCCACATCACCATCGGCCAGTCAG